TTTCAGTTTGACATTGCTAATTCTCAAGACCGTGTCAATTTGCATGGCCCGGACAAACATTTGCTTGCAGAAGATATGCTCACATTTCAAAGGTCAAAAAATTAATTTGGTTTACAATATCGGATGCACTTCAGTGACAGAATGTTTGCTACTTAGAAAACTGCAGTTGTCAAACTTTTTTCCATGTTTGGTTCAACATGGCTCTGTGAAGCACCATTTTCTGTCATAACATACATCAAGTTGAAATATTGATCATGGTTACTGAATGTAAATATGGAGGCTGAGTTGAGGAGTGCTGTCAGTGAAAAAGTTTTTGCCTGATTTCAGAGCTTTAACAGTGGAACAAAACTAGCAAGTGTTCCACCGATTAATCAGCAGAAATCACATTTCGCAGATATTCAAAACCCAATGTTGAAGCATTCTGTTGACATTAAAAGACAAGAATTGGTATGTTCAGAAATTCTCACAAAATTATTTACATTTTCAGAAGGATATGGCTGGTTTGCTATAGCAGTAGCCACTATATGGTGACTACTCCTTCAGAACTCGTTGGACACCATGAATATATATGGCAGGGGTGGCCAATAATTTTTGCCCAGGGGCCACTTCAACAATTTTCGAAGTAGCCCCAGGCCACCCTGGAAGGGGTGGAGCCTAAACAGGAAGGGGCGTGGCCACCCCAGAAGGGGCATGGCTAAACAGGAAGGGGCGTGGTGGAGGAGCCCCGCAACTATAGAGTAGTAGGGAAGTTAGATATCATGTAATTGAACAGTCATGTAACCGCATCAAATTGTAATGGCTACACAACTATTCAATAGCCCTTGGGGCAGCAGCAGTGCAAGGTGGCAGATGAGAGCTGATCTGCAAGGGGAGCCAATTTTAAGAAAACCAGCTTCCAACACAGACTGAGGCTCCTGCCTGCTGCCCCTCACTGTCAGAGGCAGCAGCCTCTGTCCATGGCGGGGTCTGAGATGGGAAGAGGGAGGAAAGAATTGGTGCTGGGGGGAGAGGCAGCAGTGTGAGGGCGAGGCAGATCCGGTACTCATGAAAAGCCAGTTTAAAGCTGGCTCCTGCCTCCCCGCCCTTCCTGCCTCTGTATGGGGGAAAGGAATGTGCGTAGTCATCAAGATTAACTGATAAGCCTAATTTTATCAATTAATTGTATATTTGTCTACATGTTGACACCCCTAATATAGTAAGGTCAACAACAACATGTGAGGCTAGCTACATGTACATCTGATTTTAAAAGATTCAATCCACAGAATACCTTACTGATCTGGAATTGGACTTTTATATTGCTTTCTGACAAATACGGCAATTTAAATAAGATGATAGACTGGAATATATGGTTCTGTAAAATATTTCTTAAAGACATGGGCAACACATTAACAGGCCCACAAAACGAGATGAATTGGTTAATCACTCTGTGCAGTAACTGTGGTTTTTTGAAATGTTTTCCCTACCAGTGCTAATCTCTAGATGCATTAGCACCTGCAGCATTTTGATTTGATTTCTCATAGCAGTATCCAGTGCTTTTTTTGTGACGGTGCTGCCCAGTACGCAGTACTGGCACCTCCAGACGCAGTACCAGTACCTCCAGTCAGAGCTCAACAACTTTTCCCCTGGAGTACCGGCCCTTTTTTTTTTCTTTTTTTTTTTAAACACAAAAAAAAGCACTGGCAGTATTCATTCAGCTTGTGCATGCATGTTAGCCAGTCTCATGCCCTACAGCACTGTGCCTGCAAACTGCCCTCAGTTCCTTTTCTACCACCAAGCCCTGAAGCAGAAGGTAAGAGGGGCAGATAGTGCAGCACTTGTAGGGAGACACATCTTGAAGAACCAGACTGCCCGAGTAACTACTTTTTCTTCTTCAAGCAGTGTCCCAATGGGTGCTTCACTCTAGGTTATTACTGAGCAGTACCTTCTAAGATGCAATGGTCTTCAGAGTCAAGTCCAGTATGGAGGAAAGCACAACCACACCAAACACAGTATCAAAGGCAGAGTCATGATACTGCATAGTGATTGGTGAATGTATGAATAGATGCCCAAATAGCAGCTTTACAGACTTGAGTAAAATCATGGCACATTTTTGAGAAAGACTGTAGAAGTAATAAGTCTTTATAGAATGAGTAAAAATAATGGAAGGTGACTGAGCACTGAGACAGTTAACAAGTTTTAATGCAGCCTTATATCCATTTGGAACGTCTCTATTTAGTAACTGCCGACCCTCTTATCCTATCAGCTAGTGAGATGAATAACTTGTGGGTCTTCTAGAAGGGCTTTGTTTTTTCTAGATAGAAATCAAAGGCTTTCGTGACATCCAGGGCATGCAGCAAGTGCATCCTCGCAATTTAATGCAGAAGTCAGAAAGGTGAATGGGCTGATAGAGATGGAACTTCGAAGAAACCACAAATAAGAACTTGAGGCAAGGCTGCAGTGTGACTATAATTAAAAAAAAGGGAAAGGGGATATGCAATTAGGATCCCTAATTTTCCAACAAGACATGCCACTAAAGTGGCTGTCAAATGCCATCTTCACTGACTAATGGAGCAGTGTGCAAGTAGCAAAGCTTCAAACAGCAGTCTTGTAAGGCATTTAACAACCAGATTGAGCTCCTATGCAGGAGAGACATTGGATGGGCACACAACAGGTTTCCCAAATCTCTAAGGAATCTAGCTGTGGTTGGGTACATGAAGACAGAATAATCCTCCAGCCAGCAATTATGCCACACTCTCGCAAAGAAACTTAGGAATCACTTTATCAGCATTCTAATCCTGTACTGGTTAGTGGAAAGCCATGTTGGTTGCCAGCTGGACTCTCAGGGTATGTCTACACAGCAGGGCAAAACTCAAATTAAGCTACACCATTTCAGCTACGTCAAATGGGTAGCTGAGGTCGAAACAGCTTAATTCAGCTTTCGGAGCTGTCTACGCAGCAGGAAGCCAAAGGAAGAACACACTCCTTTTGACTTCCCTTACTCCTTGTAAAATGAGGTTTACAGGAGTTGAAGTAACAAGTCCTCCGGCTCGCCATTATTTCAAAATAATGGCTCGCAGTATAGACGTGCTCTTTGTTATTTCGGAATAACGCTGCTGTGTAGGTGTACCCTTAGAGAGCTCATAGACAGGGCCAAGATTTTCAGAGTTAGGATATATTCCTGTATTTCCAAAAGTGATGCAGTTGTTGGCGTAATCTGTCTCCAGGTAGAAAATGATTTTTGAGAATGCATGCAGCACGTACATTGTTATCTGCTATGTAAAAGTACTCTTTATGTCTTCTGCGCAGGCTGTGTCTCATCTCATGAGCCACTGACCAACCATGCTTTTAAAGAAAAAGTGACAGTAGGAGGAAAAAAAAAATCTTCCCACCCGCCTGGCAGAGGAGATGGGGAGCAGTGTGGAGAGTAATCCAAGAGCAGACAGGCAGTTGCATAAGGTAAGGCAACCAACTTTGCCTGGCCCAGGTAGGAACAATTAGAATGACTCTGGCTCTTTCTTTTGAGCGTAACTTTGGGTATTAGGAAAATACATATAGTCAGGAAAACCACCACTGAAAGTGAAAAGCAACCTCCTCTATGGTAGGGGGAGGAACATACAGCCTGCAGGCCAGATCCAGCCCTCAGCTTCCTGGATCTGGCCTGCAACGAGGTTTGAGGCTTCTCCCCACAGCCAGTCAAGCCATAGCTCATGCTCCAGCCCTGCAGCAAGTCTCCACGCCACGGTGCCTTGTCTTCAAGGCTGGAATAGGAGTGCCAGCTTGCCTTCCTGCAGGTGGAAGCCCCAAAACTGAGCTTTGGCACCGTTCTGCAAGGCTGGAGCGTGAGTGAAGCTCCAGTGCCCCTAGTTGTAAGAGTGGGGGCCAGGTCAATGAGGTTTATTTTTTCTTTGTTTTCTTTTTTGGAGGGTTGTTTGTTTTGCTGCTCACTTGGGGACCCTAAGGTTTGATGACATGACCCACTTAAGCAGAAGTGGGTTCATTTCTTGTTTGACTCTGTGACAAACAGCATATTTGAGAGGCACCCTATTTACAGAATAGGTAGTTTTATATGGTCCATCTTCCACTCATGGTCTCCAAAGAAGCATCTGCTGAATGCATCTGTAGTCATGTTCTGAATCCTCGAGATACAGCCTACTCTGATGGTGGTCTAGTTGCATATGGATCAACTCCATAGCTTGACAGTGAAGGACTAGGTTTTTTATTTTTCCATCCCTCACTAACTCCTTAGAAGTGGATGCAGTGATTGAAGATCGTGGGTAACACCGTGATAAATAAGTACCTCTTAACAAAGAGCATAAGTGCTTAGATTTACTAGGGAGAAAGCCTTACTCCTTAGCCTCCCTACAATTTAGAATTGCCAATTGTCAGGCACTGATGGCAAAGTACAACCATAGGAACTACACAAAGCTGACCTTGTTTGTAGATCCTCTCTGAACAAAATACAGATAACAGTTGCAGGCAATTATTGTGGAGGGCCAGCTACTTGCTGGGACAACCCTACTGATATTGCCGCTCGGTCAGCTGCTATAGTTGGGGTGCTGAGAAGAACCTCCAGTGCTCCAGCCCCCTGGATTCCTGAAGGAGGTTCAAAGAACAGTTAAAGACTTTTCTTTTAATGGGTCTAGGTCTGCATACAGCATGGACTAATCCCTATCAACACTGAAAGACTCTAGAGCGAGCTTCCATTCTCTTGCTATCTATGTTCTCCCCTCAAGAGAAATCTGAGCAAGTATCAGATAGCCCAGAGATGGTGAAATCAACACTGGTTAATTGCATTTTTCATATTTACTGTGGGTGACAAAATAGAAAAAAAAATAGATTTTTTTTTAACAGGAAGAGCCATGTTTAAAAATATTTTATCTTGTTTGTAACAAAACAAACAACTGTATTAAGAAATTGTATTTCTCTGAATTCTAATTTTAAAAAACCTGTTTGATGTACTAAATAACTTTCATCCAAAACAAACATTTATTCCCTTAAAGCAACAGTTAAAATAATCTTACCTGTTTGTTCAGGATACCTTTGCCATCTGTATCAGCTAAATCCCAAATCTAAATTAAAAAAGAATTACAAAAAAATGTTTTATAGTATGTGCCAGCAAAATTGTTGGTAACTGACAAATCCTCATCCTACTTAAACAAGGAATGCAACCTATGAATACATTTCTAATCCTAGGACCGCAAATCCTCCATAATGGTGACTCATTTAAGTAGACAAATAAATACTCTTATAGTTTTATGCAACTAAGTTATATCAAAGAGCAAATGTAAGAAATAATGGAACTTGAATCCATTAACTAATTTGATTTGTCCAACTGTCGGAGGCAGCCTGTAGGGGCAGCGACATGGGGGTAGAGAGCTCTGAAATTATGGATCTTAAAGTGGAGGAGGCCTGGAATTATTTTAAGTTAAAGTTGCAGAAGCTGTCAGAAGCCTGTATCCCTAGAAAAGGGAAAAAATTTATAGGCAGGTGTGTTAGACCAAGTTGGATGAGAAAGCATCTCAGAGAGGTGATTAAGAAAAAGCAGAAAGCATATAAGGAGTGGAAAATGGGAGGAATCAGTAAAGAAAGCTACCTTATTGAGGTTAGAGCATGTAGGGACAAAGTGAGAAAGGCTAAAAGTCAGGTAGAGTTGGACCTTGCAAAGGGAATTAAAACCAACAGTAAAAGGTTTTATAGCCATATAAATAGGAAAAAAACAAAAAAGAAGTGGGACCGCTAATCACTGATGATCTAGGAATGGCCCAATATTTGAACAAATACTTTGCTTCAGTCTTTAATGAGGCTAATGAAGAGCTTAGGGATAATGGTAACTTAACAAATGGGACTAAAGATATGGAGGTAGATATTACCATATCCGAGGTAATAAAAAGCCAAACTTGAACAGCTTAATGGGAGTAAATCGGGGGGCCCAGATAATCTTCAGCCAAGAATATTGAAGGAACTGGCACATGAACTTGCAAGTCCATTAGCAAAAATTTTTAATAAATCTCTAAACTCAGGGGTTGTACCATTTGACTGAAGAATTGCTAATATAGTTTTGATTTTTAAGAAAGGGGAAAAAAAGCGACCCGGGTAACTATAGGCCTCTTAGTTTGACATCTGTAGTATGTAAAATCCTGGAAAAATTTTTGAAAGTAGTTAGAGACATAGAGGCTAATGGCAATTGGGACAAATTACAACATGGTTTTACAAAAGGTAGCTCGTGCCAAACCAACCTGATCTCCTTTTTTGAGAAAGTATCTAAAAAATCTGTTAAAGGAAATGCAGTGGATCTAATCTACCTCGACTTTAGTAAGGCATTTGGTACAGTACCACATGGGGAATTATTGGTTAAATTGGAAAAGATAGGGATTAATATGAAAGTTGAGAGGTGGATAAGCAACTGGTTAAAGGGGAGACTACAGCGGGTCATATTGAAAGGTGAACTGTCGGGTTGGAGGAAGGTTACTAGCGGAGTTCTTCAGGGATCAGTTTTGGGGCCAATTTTATTTAATCTTTTTATTGCTGATCTTGGCACCAAAAGTGGAAGTGTCCTAATAAAATTTGCGGATGACACAAAGTTGGGAGCTATTGCCAATTCAGAAAAGGATCGGGATATCATACAGGAAGATCTGGATGATCTTGTAAATTGGAGTGATAGCAATAGGATGAAATTTAATAGTGAGAAGTGTAAGGTTATGCATTTAGGGATTAATAACAAGAATTTTAGTTATAAGCTGGGGACACATCAGTTGGAAGTAACGGAGGAGGAGAAGGACCTCGGAGTCCTGGTTGATTATAGAATGACTATGAGCCACCATTGTGACATGGCCGTGAAAAAGGCTAATACGATCTTGGGATGTATTAGGCGAGGTATTTCCAGTAGGGATAAGGAGGTGTTAGTCCCATTATACAAGGCATTGGTGAGACCCCATTTGGAATACTGTGTGCAGTTCTGGTCTCCCATGTTTAAGAAGGATGAATTCAAACTGGAACAGGTACAAAGAAGGGCCACTAGGATGATCCGAGGAATGGAAAACCTGTCTTATGAAAGGAGACTCAAGGAGCTTGGCTTGTTTACTTTAACCAAAAGAAGGCTGAGGGGGGACATGATTGCACTTTTTAAATATATTAGAGGGATAAATACCAGGGAGGGAGAGGAATTATTTAAGTTTAATACCAATGTGGACACAAGAACAAATGGATATAAGCTGGCTAGTAGGAAGTTTAGACTTGAGATTAGACGAAGGTTTCTAACCATTAGAGGAGTGAAGTTCTGGAACGGCCTTCCAAGGGAAGTAGTGGGGGCAAAAGATCTATCTGGTTTCAAGATTAAACTAGATGGGTTTATGAAGGGGATGGTTTGATGAGATAACATGATCTTGGTAACTAATTGACCATTCATTATCAGTGGGAAATAGGTCAATGGAGGGATGATAGGAGTTACTATAGAGAACTTTCTGGGTGTCTGGCTGATGAGTCTTGCCCACATGCTCAGGGTTTAGCTGATCGCCATATTTGGGGTCGGGAAGGAATTTTCCTCCAGGGTAGATTGGCAGAGGCCCTGGAGGTTTTTCGCCTTCCTCTGTAGCATGGGGCACAGACCACAGCTGGAGGATTCTCTGCATCTTGGGGCCTTCAAAGTATTTGAAGGCTTCAATATCTGAGATATAGGTGAGAGGATTATTCTAGGAGGGGTGGGTGAGATTCTGTGGCCTGCACTGTGCAGGGGGTCAGACTAGATGATCATAATGGTCCCTTCTGACCTTAAAGTCTATGAGTCTATGAATTTAAAATTCCCCCTTCCAAAGAATTTGTAAATGTAAAAAACAACATACAGCTCATGAATAGGGCATAAGCTCTATTTGTTAAGTTAAGATGTGTCTCAAGTTTGCCGAAGGTTGTGAAGCATTTCTCCATCACCTGCCTCTTTGTATGAGGAAGTCTCATCTGTGCGTGCTGTGAATCAGTTCCCTGAAGCCACCGGCCTCTGGCAACACAAGCACTGCCTTCCAGGACTCCACAGGCATTGCTTTCTTTGTCCAGCTCCAGCCTCAGTCACTGAAAAGTGGGAATTTGAAGCAAGCAGGAGAGAGTTTGGGGGCGTAGGACAGGCAGGGCCACACTAGCTAATATGGTCTTGGGATGTATTAGGCGAGGTATTTCCAGTAGGGATAAGGAGGTGTTAGTGCCATTATACAAGGCATTGGTGAGACCCCATTTGGAATACTGTGTGCAGTTCTGGTCTCCCATGTTTAAGAAGGATGAATTCAAACTGGAACAGGTACAAAGAAGGGCCACTAGGATGATCCGAGGAATGGAAAACCTGTCTTATGAAAGGAGACTCAAGGAGCTTGGCTTGTTTACTTTAACCAAAAGAAGGCTGAGGGGGGACATGATTGCACTTTTTAAATATATTAGAGGGATAAATACCAGGGAGGGAGAGGAATTATTTAAGTTTAATACCAATGTGGACACAAGAACAAATGGATATAAGCTGGCTAGTAGGAAGTTTAGACTTGAGATTAGACGAAGGTTTCTAACCATTAGAGGAGTGAAGTTCTGGAACAGCCTTCTAAGGGAAGTAGTGGGGGCAAAAGATCTATCTGGTTTCAAGATTAAACTAGATGGGTTTATGAAGGGGATGGTTTGATGAGATAACATGATCTTGGTAACTAATTGTCCATTCATTATCAGTGGGAATAGGTCAATGGAGGGATGATAGGAGTTACTATAGAGAACTTTCTGGGTATCTGGCTGATGAGTCTTGCCCACATGCTCAGGGTTTAGCTGATCGCCATATTTGGGGTCGGGAAGGAATTTTCCTCCAGGGTAGATTGGCAGAGGCCCTGGAGGTTTTTCGCCTTCCTCTGTAGCATGGGGTACAGATCGCAGCTGGAGGATTCTCTGAATCTTGTGGTCTTCAAAGTATTTGAAGGCTTCAATATCTGAGATATAGGTGAGAGGATTATTCTAGGAGGGGTGGGTGAGATTCTGTGGCCTGCACTGTGCAGGGGGTCAGACTAGATGATCATAATGGTCCCTTCTGACCTTAAAGTCTATGAGTCTATGAGCAGCTGCCACCCAGCTGATTCTGGCATTCTGGGGAACCCTGGAAGCAGCTGCCCCTGCCACATGAGGGGCCAGGGAACCCCGGGAGCAGAAGCAGCCACCCCCACTGAGCAGGGACTGGGGAACCCTAGGAGCAGCCACTGACGCGTGCAGGGCCGGGGACTGCCTGGAGCAGCAGCTGCCACCGCCACATGCAGAGCTGGGGAACACTGTGAGCAGCTGCCATCACGGCCACACACATGGAGCTGACAACCCCTAAACAGCTGCACCCCTGCACAGGGCAAGGAGCAGAGCCCTGTGAGTGGGCTGGGGGCAGCAGACCCAAACAGGTGAGCCGCACGAGGTCAAGTCTCCGGTTTCTCCTGGGGCAGCTGCCAGGAGGGAAGCCCTGGGAGAGCCCGGACACCTGACCTCCCCTTGTCTGGCAAATTCCCTTGTTTGGGACCACTCCAGTCCTGAGGGTGCCGGACAAGGGAGGTTCAACCTGAAATTTTACTTCACCTTCTACAGAATCTCATAACCATGTCTAATGATTTCTTATTAAATACACAAAAAAACCAGAATCCAATAATTTACCATTAAATCTTGAATGCAGCTTTGTGCACAAGTTTCAGGGAAGAAAAAGCCCTTTTGGACAGCACACTAGTGAAAGAGATACTGTAGGTTGCTTATATTGCCATAACAAAAAAATCCCTTTAAAAAAAAAAATCAATGATTGTGGTACCTGAAGATTAAACGTAAACTGGAGGGTCCTTACATAAGGACATAAGAACGGCTGTACTGGGTCAGACCAAAGGTCCATCTAGCCCAGTAGCCTGTCTGCCAACAGTGGCCAACACCAGTTGCCCCAGAGAGGGTGGACCGAAGACAATGATCAAGCGATTTGTCTCCTGCCATCTCTCTCCAGCCTCTGACAAACAGAGGCCAA